TGTTGAACTATAAATTACTAATACCATATTAGTTCTATTTCACAAGCTGTAAGGTGTTTTATTTCCATTATCATTCATTGCAGAATTCCAGTGTGATTTTTTAATTAGACCCATAACTTACTTAGATTTGTGTTGCCTAATTTCTAAATATATAGAACTTTTCTACTTATCTTTTGTTATTGAGTGCTTCTTTAATTTCATTAAGGTAAGGGAGAATATTCTTTATGTTATAGAACTTGAATACTTATTAGATCTAGCATATGTTTTTTTTAAAATTCATATTCCCTCCAACAGGCATATTGTGTTATTGTGTATAGTCTTCTGTATGTGAATTTTGTCAAGTTGGTTAATCATGTTTTTCAAATATTTTGTATCTTTATCAGACTTTTCATTTGGTTATTCTATCAGACACTGAGAAAAGTATTTTTTTAAATTGATAAGATAATGAATTTCTTCATTTTTTCCTTTTATTTTTGTCAACTTTTGTTTTATCCTTCTTGAGGCAGTGTTATTGATTGCATACAAATGTATTTTATATTTTTCTGCTGAATAAACACTTTAATAGCTAAAAATAGTATACCTTTTAATCTGTAGTAGTACTTGCAGTAATATTTCTTAAGTTCTATCTTTTCCTTATATATATATATAGCTATATCAGTGTTCTTTTGGTTAGTGTTTATATAGTATATTATTTACAAGTTTTCAACTTTTGATAGTGTTATATTTAAAATGCATCTCTTTTGCACATAGTTTTTATTTTATTGATTTTTGAAATTCTTATTCCTTCATTTTTTTATTTTTTGTTTTTAACTATATATGATAGACATAATACATGGGGTGCAACACATTATAATTTTGAACCCATTGTTGAACATGATGTGGAGTTACACTGGTCGTGTATTCATATATGAGCATAAGAAAGTTATGTCCGATTCATTATATTGTCTTTCCTATTCTCATACTTCCTCATTTTCCTTCATTTCCCTTAACCTAATCTCATGAATTTCTATACTTCCTCTACTTATCCTCCCTTGTTTGGGTTCACATCTACATATCAGAGAGAACCTTTGACCTTTGGTTTGGGGGAGTGGCTTATTTCACTTAGCATGATATTCTCCAGCTCCATCCATTTACTAGCAAATGCCATGATTTCAGTCTTCTTTATGGCTGAATAGTATTTCGTTGTGTGTACTTACCACATTTTCTTTATCCATTTATCTGTTAAAGGGCATCTAGGTTGGTTCCATAGCATGGCTATTGTGAATTGAGCTGCTATAAACATTGATGTAGCTGTGTCACTGTAGTATGCTGGTTTCAAGTCCTTTGGGTAAAAGCTGAAGAGTGGAATAACTAGGTCAAATTGTGGTTCCATTCCAAGTTTTCTGAGGAATCTCCATACTGCTTTCCAGAGTAGTTGTACCAGGCTGCATTCCTACCAGCAATGTATGAGTGAAGCTTTTCCCCCACATCCTCACTAACATTTATTGTTACTTGTATTGTTTGTAATTGCTATTCTGACTGGAGTAAGATGAAACCTTAGTGTAGTTTTAATTTGCATTTCTTTAATTTCTAGAGATGTTGAACATTTTTCATATTTTTTTGACTATCCATGTTTCTTCTGTGAAGTCCCTGTTCAGTTCCTATGCCCATTTATAGATTGGGTTATTTGTGTTTTCGGTGTTAAATTTTTTGAGTTCTTTATATATACTGGAAATTAATGCTCTATACTGGAGATTAATGCTCTATCTGAGGTGCAGGTGATAGATATTCTCCAATTCTGTAGAGTCTCTGTTCATGTTCTTGATTCCTTTGCTCTGAAGAAGTTTTTTTAGTTTGATGCCATCCCATTCTTGATTTTACTTCTTGTGTTTTAGGAGTCTTATTGAGGAAGTCTGTTCCTGAGCTGATATGATGGAGAGTTGGGCCTGTTTTTCCTTATAGTATGTACAAGGTCTCTGGTCTTACAAGGTCCTTGATCCACTTTGAGTTGAGTTACAATGTATCTCTTGCAAGTAGATAATTGTAGGGTTTTTTCACTTAATCTTTTTATCTCTTTTATTTAATGGGACTGTTTAGTCCATTTACATGTATATATCCTTCATTTGTTATTTAACTTATTAATCTTCTGTTACTTCCTGAACGTTGTATGAAACTTATAGTACTTTAATTATCTTCCTCCTAGTGTTTATGTGTACCTCTTTTAGTTTCATTTATACATGACATTATTAATATTTTTCATTTGAATAGTCAGTTAAAAAATTATAGCCAGTCAGGATGGTGCATACCTGTAATCCCAATGACCTGGGAGGGTGAGGTAGGAGGATTGCAAATTTGAGGACAGCCTCCACAACTTAGCAAGACCCTAAGCAATTTAGAGACACTGTTTCAAAATAAAAAGAGTTGGGGATGTAGCTTAGTGGTGAAGTGTCTATGTGTTCAATCCTCACTATCAAAAATAAATAAAATAAAATTACATATCTACCTTTTCCAGTGCTCTTCATTTCTATGTGTATTGTTCAGTTGCATTTACCTGGAATCATTTTGTCAACCTGAATAATTTTCTGTAATATTTCTGGTAATACAGATTCAATGGCAATAAATTTTCTTTTTGTCTATAAATGTCCATGTTTCATTCATTTTTAAATCATTCCTCGTTGACCATAAGATTTTAGATTAGCAGATATTTTTCCCAATACTTTTTATAATGTCTTATGGCCTCCAAAATTTATGTTGTAATGTCAGGTATCAGTAATGTTGTATACCATCACCACAATCACCCTACTAACCCTGCTCTACTTTTAAGTTTTTTATGTTTGTTTTCTAAGCAGGTTGATTATGATGTGCTAAGGTAGTTTTTTCTTCATATCTTTCTTTGCTTCCCTGAGGTTCTTGAACATGTTAGTGGGTTCTTTTTAAATCAACTTGAGGAATTATGGATAATAGCTCTTTAAATATTCTGATACAGACTCTTTTTCTTCTCCTCTTTGGATTCTAACTACTTGAATGTTGTATATGTTAGACTTTATTTTCTGTTTAACCTTTCTGCATCTTTTATACTCATAATGTCATTCATCCATAATTGACAGATATCCCCCAGTCAGTGATAAATTGCTTATCTCTTAGAGGTTTTCAACTTTATGGAATTTCAAGTCATTTAATTCTTTTTACTCCCTTAGTTCTTTGACGTTTTCAAAATTATTATTTGTTTTTGAAATGGGAATGTAGTCTGCCAAAATTTCTACATCCTGCTTGAGAGCAGAAGCCTCACTAAGTCCTTTACTAGATAGTTTAATCTTAAATTTAGGTAGTATTCCTTATATATTTTGTAGTATAATACTTGGTGACTAGTCTGAGATTTTGATTTGGAAATCATATAATATAGACTATAACTGGGACAATGTGAGTGAATAAATTTTGAAACAGGAATGTATGCTAGTTTCCCTGCTCCCCCTGACCAAGCATGATTTAGCTTTCTGTGGTTCCAATTACCCAGTCAACAATGGTCTGAAAATATTAAATAGAAGCTTCCAGGAATAAATTATTCATATTTTTAAGTTGTATTCCATTCTGTGTAGCTTGAAGAAATCTCATACTGTTCTGCTTCAGGGCTTGAATTGTCTCTTTGTCCAGCATATCCATGCTTTATGTACTGCTTACCTTTATTTTGTTGCTAAAGTAGTTATCAGATCAAGCATCATGGTATTGCAATACTGGCCTTGAGTAACCTTTATCAAAAATAAGTAAGTGCAAGAACAATGATGCTGGTATTTTTCATATGCCAAAGATATTTCCCAGAGCTCACAAACTTTAAAATGAGAAGGATGACTTTCCTGAATTTGGTTGGGAAAGGGTATTCTGGTTATGAAGGAATAGTACTTTGAAATAAAAGTTTGAGAGAGATTTTCTATAGTCCCTGGGGCTAGAGTGCATTTTCAAAGAGGAGATAAGGCTGGAAAGACATGTAGGAATCAGGTACATCTTTAAAAGGATTTTTTAAATTGCAGATGTGGCCACAACAATGAGTTTATGTAGTGGACTAGAGATAGTTATTGAAGTAGAAGAGCCTCTTCAAGGTGTTAATGTCACAAAAAGAATGGCAAAATATGGAGAAAAAGGAAAGGTAGAACTACATGAATGTGGGGAGATAAATTTTGGTTTTCGTTATGTAAAAAAAAAAAAGATCAGAATCATGTACATAGATTTTTCATAATCTAAGGCCAGTTCTTGAAGTGAGTGCTGTTACTGAATATGTCGGGACTTGCTGGCACAGCAAGTGGTAGATTTAGATAACTTGAGGCTTAAAAGGGAAGTTTTGTCCAGTCTAAAATTAGTTTTGGGGAATGCCTCTTTTTGCTCTCTTCTCCTCACTCCCTATTCTGTTTATTGTGGAAGTCAGAAAATGGGCAGTGGCCACTAGAGAGGACAAGTTTAGTAAAGTAACTACAGTCCTCAGGGAAAGTTCAGATTTCAGTGAAAGCAAAGGGATGCATTGGATGAAGGAAGTATACAGTAATGAGTCTTGAGGAATTTGTTTACCATTGGAACATTAGATTATAAGAATGGAAAGAGGCATTCTCTTATATCAAACTTCATGCAATAAATTTAATTTAAAAAATTTAGTTAAACATTAGATAAACCTCCTTTCATCTGGTCCCCAGGGGATTTAATTTATACTTAAGGATTTGTATGTTTAGCAAAGTTTGTTTTGCTATGTACTTTAAAGTGTGCTCTTTTAATCCATTTCACATAATTTTAAGTATCTTTTGAGTTATATCTCATGTAAATGGAAAATGATTTAAGAAATTTGTGTTTTAATTTTTTAGAATGCAACTATGCTAAAAGGTGAGGTATGTTGGTTATAGGAAGTGATCTAATTAAAAATTGTTGTGTTTTCATATTTTGGTTTTTATTTTAATTTAAAGGAAAACCGTGTTGCTGTTTAAGATGTTTGTTTCTTTTTGACAAAGATATGAAATTATAGCATATAACTTTTTTTTTAGATTTGCAACAGCTGTGAAAAAGTTTGATTTCTTGAATCCACTCTTGATTTTTAGTGGTGACTGCTTAAATCCTTCAGTTTTAAGTACAATAACAAAAGGAAAGCATATGATTCCTATATTAAATGAATTGGGAGTACATTTTGCAGTTTTTGGTAAGTATTTGTAAACCTTTTTTATTACTTGAAATCTAATTTACATACTGCTTCTAGAATATTTTATGGAACAGGAGTTAAATAACTCTGTTTATCAGTTTATAGGCACTAAGACAGAGCCAGTTATCAGGACTGTTCAGTAAATATGAAAATTTGTAATCAAACCTGGATTTGACTTTATATGATAATATTTTTAATTGTGCTTGTTCAAAAGTAAAAAAAAATATTATCAGAGTACTTAAGATCATGAATTTTGAGTTAGCTGGGCCTGGGCTTGAATATGAAAGAGGAAACTATGATTGTTGAAAACCATTGTACTAGCAGTACAGTCTGGGCTGTATAGTGTTTGACTCCCTCTCTGAAGAACGTACAGATTTTCCATAAGTGGTGTTATTTTTAGTTTATTTGAATTGTTTGTAACACAAATCTATAGTTGGTTGATTTCAGTGTTCTTTTTATAGACTTTTTGGGTGGTTTCTATTCTAATAAGGCAAAACAAACTTGTTGGTTATATTCAGCTTATTAGTTTTGCTAAGTATTATATGCAGTTTGTTTTGACACTTTAAATTATTTTTAATGAATTTAGTGCAATTTTGAGAGTATAGAAAGTACCAAGACATGGTAAATAATCACTCATAATGCCATAATTTTATGTTAACATTTTGTGACATTTCCTTAAATGTGGCTAGTTCAATTGAGGTGTACTGTAAGTTTAATATACATACTGGGTTTTTAAGACTGAAAACGGAAGAATGTAAAATATCTCAATCTTTTTTTGTATTGATCTCATGCTAAAATACATTGGAATATTATGATAAATAAATAAATATATATTAAATTTCTTTTACCTATTTCTTTTTTAAATGTGGCTGCTAGAAAGTTTAAAATTACACACATTGCTTACATTTTGTTTATGTTAATGATAGTATGGAGTTTAGCATAGAGAGGCATATCTAAGCCTTAAAAAGGGAAGGAAGGAGTTCTGTGAAAAGGTTAGTTGCTAGATTACATGACCTTCAGTAAACTATTATCAGCCATTCTGAAATGACTGAAGAAGAAGGAAGAAATCTAGGGAATATATACCCTGTTTGCTTTCTTAATCAGTTCTCAAATTTCTGTGTCTATCATTGGTTTGATCTAATAGGAAGCTGGCAGATAAAGGAGCCAGCTAATGAAGTCGGTAGAAGCTGGACTACCTAAACCTAGAGTAGGATAGTAAAAGGTAGAGAATAAATATAGAGGAGTCTACTGAATATTTCCATCATAATCACCCCTTTGAAATGCATTGTAAATATATTTTAAGGACTCTACATCCTATTTTATGTATTACATTATAATATGACTTTATTAGGAAAAGTTATAATGTTCTCTTAAGTATGGGAATTATTCAGGATATATAGTTGCATTTAATTTAAATAAAAAATAAATGAAACAGAATTGTTGGTTGGAATAGCAATCAAACAGTTAACTGAGTATTTTTAAAGTGTTTCCCAGAATTTGAGAAACTTTTTATAGTTTTTTTATTTGCATGACTTTAAAGTGTTTTATTGGTGCATTATAATTATACATATAATAGAGGAATTAATCATGCCATTTTTAAACCTGTACAAGTTATATTTTGATGACTCTCATTCCTCAGCCCCTCCTCTTTACCTCCCTTCCTCCCTCCACCTGACACCATTCCTCTACCCTACTGGTCTTCCTTCTCTTATTATTTTTTTAAAATTAGGCATTATAATTATATATAAAAACAGGATTAATTGTGATATATTTATTTATAGACGTAGCATAATTTGGTAGATTTTGTTCCCTAGTACTTCACTATGCCCTCTGTTCTTCCCTTGCTCTAGATGCCTCTCCTCTATGCTGTTGGTCTTCCCTCTGTTTTAATGAGAGATACCTTTCTTATTTCTTCTTTTTTGCTCTCTTGCTTCCACATATGAGAGAAAATATTTGACCCTTGACTTTCTGAGTCTGGTTATTTCACTTAGCATGATGTTTTCCAGTTCCATTCATTTATCAGCAAATGACACAATTTTGTTCTTCTTTATGTATAAGTGAAGCTCCATTGTACATAGAACACATTTTCATCTATTGAGAGACACCTAGGCTGGTTCTGTAACTTGAATATTATGAATTGTGCTACTGTAAACATTGGAATATATGTACCATTTTAGTATGCTTTTAGTTCTTTTGTATAAATACCAAGGAATGGGGTAGTTGGGCCATATGGTGGTCCCAATCTTTGTCTTTTGGGGAATTTCCATACTACTTTTCAATGTGGTTGTACTAGTTTGAAGTCCCACCAACATCTTCACCAGCATTAATTATTTATATTCTTGATGCCATTCTAAGTGGAGTGAGGTGGAATCTCAGTATAATTTTGATTTGCATTTCTCAGAGTGCTAGGGATATTGAACATTTTTTCATATATTTGTTGGCCATTTGTATTTCTTCTTTTAAGAAATGTTTGTTTTGATTATTTTCCCATTTATTGATTGGGTTATTTGTTTTTTTGGTGTTTTGTGTTTTGGGTTCTTTAAATAGTGTGGATATTAATTGCCTATTAGAATAATTTATTGTTCCTTTTCTCTGTCTATATTCACTCTCTTGGTGTTCTCATCACTGACTTCAAATCCTATTTGTTTGCTGACTCCAAAATCATATATTTGATCTGGATTGCTTGCCTCAACTCTGGATCTTCTTAACTAACTGCTTAATTGACATCTTGACTTGGATATTGAATAGGTCTGAAATTAACCCCTCATTCCCCAACAAAATATTCTCCTCTGTAGTTGTGCTTTCTTAGTTAATACAACTCCATCTTCTTCATCCTTGTATCTATTAGGTAAAAACATCTTAGGTGTCATTCTCTTAGCAGCCTCAAACCAGTTTTCTAGCTGATCCTACTGGTTCTGTTTTTGAAACATGTTCAGAATCTATTCACTTTGTCCTATCCACTCTATCACCCTGGTTTAAGCACCTTTATTTCTTTTTTGGATTATTACCAGAAAATGGTTTCCTAGTTCTGCTTTTGCCTTCCCATAGATTATTCTCATCACACCATCCACCATCTGACATTTTGAAATGTCAGATAATGTCCTTTTTCTATAAAAAACTCCAATGTCTCCTGAAGTTAGTCAAAGTAAAATCAAGTCTTCACAGGCCAATCAGGACCTGATATGATCTAGCATTCCATTACTTTTGGGATTCACATAATATTGCCTTGTCATTCAACTTACTTTGCTGGCACTGTTCTGTCAGTCTTATATTTCTCAATCACTACTGGTGTATTCTTAATATAAATTCTGTGCTTTTGCTGTTCTCTCTTTCTGATAAACTCTTCTTTCAGTTATTTACATGGTTGGGTTTTCTTGCTTAAATATCTACCCAGAGTTGCCTTCTCTGAGGACCCTATTTAAAATTACACCCTTTACTTTTGTGTTTGATCTGCCTTTCTTGTTTTACTTTTTTCCCAAAGCAATTATTAGTTTCTAACATTTTGCTTAATTATTCTTTGTTTGTCTGCCTCATTCAATGAGAGTAGAATTTTTTTTCTGTTCTTTTATTTGCTGTATTTTTAACACCAACAGTAGTGTCTGGCATGTTGGAGTTGCTCAATAATAGTTCTTTAGTATATGAGTGAAGATATTTATTTGCATTGTTTTTAAGGACATGAGATTACCCCAAGTTGCTTCATAAATTACACAGTCTTATATAGTTCAGTATTAATTTGTGTTAATATAATAAGGTTCAATACAATACAAATGGTTCAGAATTAAGTTATACAGTTTTAAATAGTTCAATGCAGTTTCAATATTTATGCCTTAAATAAGAATGGGAGATATTACATGCCACTATCTTTAACTATCTTCTAAGTGAGTGTACTTATAATAAATGAAATTGTGATATTTATAGAAAACTACTAGACTTTACCTGTCTTTACTGTATATCTTGTTTTTCTCTTTTTAAATACACTTTATGTTTTAGAGCTGTTTTAGGTTCACAGCAAAATTGAGAAGAAGATACAGAGATTTGCCATTTATCTCCTTCTCTTGCATATGTATAATTTCTTCCATTATCAGCATTGTCATTCAGAGTGGTATATTTGTTATAGTTGATGAACCTACGTTGACATATTTTTGTCACCCAGAATCCATAATTAACATTAGGGTTCATTCTTGGTGCTGTATGTTCTATGAGATTGGGCAGATTTATAATGACTTATATATATCTTTATAGTATCATAAAATAATTTCACTGCCTTAAAAAATCTTCTGTTTTGCCTAATTCATCCTTCCTTCCCCTATAATCCATGGTAATCACCAATCTTTTTCCTTTATCTGCAGTTTTGCATTTTCTCGTATGTACATACATTATAGTATGTAACCTTTCTAGATAGGCATCTTTTGCTTAATAGTAAACATTTAATTTTTCTATATCCTATATTGCTTCCCCCACCCTCTTTTGGTTTCGGGGATTGGACCCAGGAGCATTTTATCACTGAACTAAATCCTCAGCCCTTTTTATTTTTTATTTTGAGGCAAGATCTTGCTAAGTTGCTTAGAGCTTTGCTAAATTGCTGAGGCTGGCTTTGAACTTGAGATCCTCCTGCCTCAGCCTCCCTAGCCACTGGGATTACAGGCGTGAGCCACCACACCCAGCTCCCATATATTTTAATGGCTTGATGATTTAATAATCTACTGTCTGGATGTAATATGCTTTATCTACTCATTTACCTACTGAAGGTCATCCTCTTTTCTTTTTATTAAAATTATTAATAAATTTGCACATTAATTGTGCAAATTAATGGGATCCCCTGTGTCATTTTTCTTTTTTTTTTATTGGTCGTTCATAACATTACATAGTTCTTAATACATCATATTACACGGTTTGATTCAAGTGGATTATGAACTCCCGCTTTTACCCCGTATACAAATTGCTGTATCACATCAGTTACCCTTCCATTGATTGACATATTGCCTTTCTCCCCTGTGTCATTTTTCACATGCATATATTATGCATTATGTCTACTCTCCCTTCTACCTCTCCCATTCACTCTGCTTTTCTCTCTCCTTCAGACCCCCTTTTCCCAAACCCTAATGATATGTCAACTTTCAGGTCATCTTTCCCCCTTCCCCGGTATACTGTTTTTCTGTGTCTGTGTTATTTCACTTAACATGATGTTTTCCCATTCTGCTCATTTTCTTGGAAATGACAGGATTTCCTTCTTTATTGCTAAGTAATACTCCATTGTATATATGTACCATATTTTCTTTATTCATTCAACTGTTTATGGGCACCTGGGATGATTGCATATCTTGGCTATTATGATCACTGTAGGTATTTCTTTTGTATGCTGACTTTGTTTCCTTCAGATATATGCTCAGGTATGGTATAGCTAGATCCTATGATTGGCATATTTTTAGCTTTTGGGGGAAACTTTGTATTCTTTTTATAGTGGCTATACTAATTTATGTTTCCATCAATAGTTTATAAAAGTTCATTTTTTCCCACATATTTGTCAGCATTTGTTGGTTTTTGCCTTTTTGATAATAGCCATTCTAATGGGTGAGATGAAATCTCAATGTAGTTTTTTCATGTATTTTATTTGTTTATATTTTTTTTTCACTTACATTATATTTATTTTGGATATTTGTACTACTTTTTTTGAGAAGTGTTAATTTTCCAATTTTTGTTTGGATCACTTATTTTTTGTTAGGTGTTATACATGAAAAACATCTTGATTGATTCCAGGTTTTGACAGTTATAAAATAGCTGTTTTTCAGGTGTTTATGTAGATATAAATTTTCAACTCTTTTGAATGAATATGAAATGTATGATTGCTGGGTCATATGGTGAAAATGTGTTGTAAAAAAACCCTGCAAAACTGGGCTGGGGTTGTAGCTCAGTCGGTAGAGCATTTGCCTAGCATGTGTGAGGCACTGGGTTCGATCCTCAGCACCACATAAAAGTTAATAAACAATATAAACATGTTGTGTTCTTCTACAACTAAAAAAAATTAAAAACCTTGAAAAACTATCTTTAGAAATGGCCATATCATCTTTCATTCCCCAAAACAGTGAATGAATTATTTGTTCTATGTCTTTGTCAGAATTTGGTGGTGGTAGTTTTCTGGATTTTGCTTATGTTAATAGGTTTGTAGTAATACTGACATAATTTGTATCTGTGTGATGACATACAGTATATTGCATTTTGTCATGTGTTTTCTGACCTGTTAAAGACTTTGACTCATTTTTATTTAGGTTGTTTTTTTCTTATTGTTGAATTTTAAGAGTTCTTTATAGATTTTGGCTAGCAAACCTTTATCAGATATGTTTTTCACAGATTTTCCCCCCAATCTTTGTGTTATCTTTTCATTGTCTTGACAGTGTCTTTTTCAGAAGAGAAATGTTTATTTTAATGAAGTCCAGCTTATCCATCTTTTTTTGCCTTTAATTTTGTTTCTTAAAGAGTCATTGCCAAATTCATGGTCATTTAGAGTTTCTCCTGTATTATCTTAATTTTAAGAGTTTTACACTTTCTGCATTTGAACTGTAGGTCTGCATTCCATTTTAATTAACTGTAGTAAAGAATCTGTTCTAGACTTATTTTTTTGCATGTGAATGTTCAGTTTTTTCAGCAACATTTGTTGAAAAGACTATTCTGTTGTTGTCTTTGCTCCTTTTGTCAAAGATTCATCTATTGTATTAGTGTGAATCTTTTTTTACAACTCTTTTTTTGTTCTTTTGATACATTTGTCTTTTTTTTTCACCAATCACCTGTCTTGAATACTGCATGTAGCAAGTCTTTTTTAAGTTGATGGACACAATATCTTTATTTTATACATTTTATTTTTATGTGGTGCTGAAGATTGAACACAGTGCCTAACAAGTGCTAGTCAAGTGCTCTACCACTGAGCTATAGCTACAGCCCCATGTAATAAGTCTTAAAGTCAACTTGTGTCAGTCTTCTCACTGTTTTGTTGGCTATTCTGGGTCTTTTCATGCTCCATATAAACTTTAGAATAAATTTTCTGATATCCACAAAATAATTTCTTTTGATTGGGATTTTTATTAGGATCTTATTGAACCCATAGATCAATTTGGGAAGAACTAGTATCTTGGCAATATTGAGTCTTTCCATGAATATTCAGTATATCTCCATTTATTTAGTTCTCTTATTTCTTTCCTCATGTTGACTGTATACATATTTTGTTAGATTTATACCTAAGTATTTCATTTTTAGGGGTGCTAAAATATTTATTATTTAAATATTATTATTTAAAATTTAAATGGTGTTATTTTAAATTTTCTATGAGAAATTAGAATCCTTTTGAAGTAGGTAAGTGTGCTTAGACTCACTAAAATTTCAAATTTGCATATTATTAACCTAGGATTAATTATACCATTGTATTTCCCCCATATTGTAAGGCTTCTTTTCCCTCCTTCTTTTTTTTGCACCTTAATTAATTAATTTATTTCTTTACACATAACTGAAAGTGATGTTACAGTACATAAGTTATTTACAACTGTGAAAGTAATGTGTTGCAAAATAAATTACCTAGAAGGCAGCAAAAGTCCCTCCTTCTTAATAGGAATAGGAAAAGCATTGGAATGAATCTAACATGGCTTTCTCATGTATATATATGAATATACCACAGTGAATCTCAACATTTATCTCTACAAGACTGGGATCCTAATTAGAATGAGATATATTCAGTGTTTGTGTAAATATATCAAAATAGATTTTACTGTCATGTATAAATAAAAAGAACAAAATAAAAATTAAAAAAGGATTTTTTGATAATACAATGCTATCTGAATTGCAAAAAATCTGTAAAATGAAGGCCTCTAAAACTTATCATATGTAAATGGAAGTTGGAGTAATTCAATGTAGTATGTGATAAAATGCTTGCTCTTAACACATAGTCTTGCAGGTGTTGAAAATTCTATTGTTTGGAGAACTACAATAATTAAATATGAAAATGAAATAACAAAAAACATTTTGTTTTTCTTTATAGGAAACCATGAGTTTGATTTTGGTGTGGATATTTTGGAAGAATACATGAAACAAATGCATTTTACATGGTTTCTCAGTAATGTCTATGACAGATTTACTTCTGAACCTCTTGGACATGGTACAGTGAAAAAAATCATTCACTGGAACAATATAAAAATTGGGTTAATGGGATTAGTTGAAGAAGATTGGCTAGATACCTTGGCTACTGTTAATAAGTCAAATGTAAATTATAAAGATTATGTTGAAGTTGCTAATGAAATAGCAATAGAACTTAGAGAAGAAGGAGCAGATCTTGTTATTGCAATGACTCATATGAAATGGGGAAATGATACCAGACTTGCCCAACGAGCAGAAGGGGTCAATTTGATTCTAGGAGGCCATGACCATGATTATGGAATCAGGAAGGTGAATGAAACTTGGATTGTCAAAAGTGGATCTGATTTTAAAACCTTGACAAAAATAGATATAAGACTCTTTGGTGCATCTTTTCAATATGTATTTGAGAAAGTGGACATTTTGAGTTACCTGGAAGAAGATTCACATATTAAAGCAATAGTAAAAGATTTTACTCAGAACATACAGGTATGCGAATTGCTTATATTATTTAAGTACAGACTGATCACATGGACAGTAGTGCAAAATAATAGTATGTAATTAGTAAATAACCAATACTGTAGATGGCATCTTCTTCATAATAATAAACAGTAGTTTTTGCTTTATTAGATTTGGACTTTCATGATCCACTTATATTTTATTTTGGCTTTATAAGTATATAACAGGAATTTTATAAGTATAACAGGAATTTTTATAAATATAACAGGAATTTAGATTGGCTTCAGTGTTTAGACTTATTTATCAATCACTATGAAAACACTTTTCTGTATTTAATTCTGCAAGAATTTATTTTTTAATGAAGGGATTACTTCTCAAAGAAGCACCGGGTTAACAAAATTACAGGTGACTTTTACATCAGCTTATAATAACAAACATTCTTTTCTCCCTTCTTTCTTCTTGAATACCATAAACATTTATAGGCATTTGAAAGTCTTGTTTTTTTCAAGTATCCTCTACATATTAGACAAACTGTAGTTCCTTATAGGTGTATGTGTGTCTTACATTTGTAACAGCTGATGGGAAATATAAACCAGGTTGTATTTTACATCTTTGTATGTATTTTTTCATATGACCTTGAGTACCTGAATTGGTTCTGTGTGAATAGAGCTCCCTATTTTGATTTTGGTTGGCGTATTAATGGATGACTTTGTTTTGGATAAGCTTGGTGTCAGGAACTGCTTTTTTATAGTAGTTTTCTGTTTCTCTAATGTATAGATAGTATTTCTTAAAATTTATGATAACCTGACTCTTTAAATGTCTTTGAAAAATAAATTATTGTTGATATATGTATTATTTTGATATCTATTTAGTACATTATTTGGAGAGGAAGAGTTTCCATAGAATATTCAATTTTGGAGGTAAAGAAGAAATGATTGAGGAGAGAAAAATTAATTTAAATGCTGATAAATGTTTATTTTAGATAGCTTATTTTTTCCCTTGTTTTAGTATATGTTAGAAGAAGTTCTTTGCCCAATTGACATGGAATTAGATGGTCGTGAAATTACTGTGAGAAGATCTGAGAGTAATCTTGGAAATTTGGTAACTAATGCAATGTTGGAAGCTACTCGTGCTGATGTAGCACTACTCAATTCAGGTGATTTCATTATTTAATTTGTTAAAAATAAACACAAAATGACTAAAATTAGATATTAAAAATGTACAACAACAGTATTCCTTTTTTAATACATGAAAAGTCCTATATCAAAATTCATTCCATTAACTCGATGAGATCAGCCCTTTATTTTTTGTTATGCTTAGGTACAACATTTAGCATTAGGTGCTCTATTTGAAAATTAAAGCATCAGGTTTTTAATTTTTAATGAGACTTGAATGAAAATGTGGCCTCATTGTTATCTCTCTTAAATGTGGTGTGCTATCAAGTTTTGACTATATAAGAAGCAATGGACTGAAATCTTTTATTTAACTTTTGTTCTTTACCTAAGCTCCTACCTGAGCTATAAGAGGAAGTGATGAGGGAAACCTTGTAGGGTAAATGGGGAAACTGTTCCTAATCTAACCAATTTTGTGTACTAATAGTTTGAAGTTGACTTATCTTGGGTTATGAGATATTAAGATTCTCTATAGAAAATTTCTAGCACTTTTTTGAAACAAGCCTTGATCCATATGCTATAATCTAGAGTTTTAGATACTGTGTATAGTCACAGTGAGTATGAGATGGATGACTTCAGAAATTTAGAATGTAACATCATGTAATATTCTAGCTATAAATTCCTCTTAATGCTATTTCCACTGAAAATACAAGTGATCTTAATCTTACACACAAATAATTAAGCTTGTGGAAGCACTTCCTAAAAGTGAAATTTGTTTAACTTTAAAATTATTAACTTACAGTTTTTTTGTTTTTGCCACCTGTGTACATCTTTAAAAATAGATGATCTTTGCTTTGGAATTTCTTAGGCAAGTTCGTCTGAAAACAGGAGGTGAGGTAGTGGCTTTCCAGTTGTTGTATTCTGTAATTTAGGAGAAAATGGTAGCTAATATGAAATTAAATCTTCCAAAAATGAATATGCTGGACATGATTAAGATAGAAGTAAACATGGGGAAGAGATTAGAAAAATAATTAGGAACTTTTATCAAGTGTGGTATATAACTCTGAACTTTTGAACATAAGACATAAAGGTGACATTTTATGGAATAAATTAAATTAAAATGTTTATTACTTTTTTTCTTTTAAATTATTATAGGTACACTCAGATCTGATCGAATACATCCAGTAGGGAATTTCACTCTGCATGATCTTTTGGCTGTTCTTCCGATAGTAGACCCAGTTTTAGTTGTTAGAGTAACAGGTGCACAGCTGCTTGAAGCACTTGAAAATGGGGTATACAAGTACCCAGCTCTCGATGGGAGGTATGTATAAACATTTCTAATAAGTGACACACTCATCAATTATTTTTTTATATAATGAAACTAAAATATATGACTTCACATTTTTAAGGTTTGAATTTGTAAAACTTTAAAATGTTAATGTGTAAGGGTGATGATAAAATCATCTCAAATTTTTAGTAGTGTGAGACTGATAAAGTATTAGAATGTAAAAAATATACTTCCTATTAAAAATTAGAGTTATTTAGTTGTTTATTGGTATATTTGGGTAGGTCCTTTCAATTTTTAAGTATCTAAAATTTTATTTTTAAAATTACTTTTCTTATTTGAGAAATAAGGTACTATTTTGTGGTCAGGCTTTACATACAAATCCCACTATAAAATTTGTAGGCAAATCAGAAAAACTAGTAGACTTACAGATTTGGGGTGCATCTCTCCCTTTCTCTTTTTTTAAAAAATTTGTTTTAATTAGTTACATATGACAATAGAATGCATTTATGCACTTTGATATACATAGATGAGATATAATATCTCATTTTTCTGAGTGTACATGTTGTAGAATAATATTGGTCATGCAGTTACATATATACATAAAGTAATAATGTCTGTTTCATTCTATATCCGTCCTATCCGTACATCTCCTCCCCTCCCTTCACTTCCCTCTACCTAACTATTCTTCTCTAGTGCCGCACACCTTATTGTGAATTAGCATCTGCATATTAGAGAAAACATTCAGCTTTTGATTTTTTGGGATTGGCTTATTTCACTCAGCATGATATTCTCCAAATCCATTAATTTACAGGCAAATGCTGTAATTTCATTCTTCTTTACAACTGAGTAATATTCCATTGTGTGTATGTGTATGTGTGTGTATATATATACATACATACACATACATACACATATCACATTTTCTTTATCCATTCATCTATTGAAGGTCACTTAGGTTGGTTCCATAATTTATCTATTGTGATTCGAGCTGCTATAAATATTGACGTGGCTGCATTACTGTAGTATGCTGATATTAAGTTCTTTGGGTTTAAACTGAGGAGTGGGATAGCTGGGTCAAATGGTGGTTCCATTCCAAATTTTCTGATGAATCTCCATACTGCTTCTCATAGTGGTTGTACCAATTTGCAGTCACACCAACAATTTATGAGTGTACCTTTTCACTCCTATCCTTGCCAATATTTATTGTTGCCTGTATTCTTGATAAATGCCATTCTGACAGGAGATGAAATCTTAGTGTAGTTTTGATTTGCATTTCTCTAATTTCTAGAGATGTTAAATACTTTTTCATATATTTGTTGGTTGGTTGTTATATTTCTTCTTCTGTGAAGTGTCTGTTCAGTTCCTTATCCCATTTATTGATTGGGTATTTGTTTTTTGGTGTTAAGTTTTTTGAGTTCTTTTGTATCCTAGAGATTAATTAATCAGAGATGCATGTGGTAAAGATTTTCTCCCAATCTCTCCTCACATTATTGATTGTTTCCTTTGCTGAGAAGAAGCTTTTTAATTTGAATCCATCTCATTTATTGATTCTTAATTTTACTTCTTACACTTTAGGAATCTTTATAAGGAAGTCAGATTCTAGGCTGACATGGTGAAGATTCAGGCCTACTTTTTCTTCTATTAGGGTCAGGGTCTCTGTTGTAGTGCCTAAGTCTTTGATCCACTTTGAGGGTTTTTTGTACAGAGTGAGAAACAAGAGGATGAATTTTATTTTGCTACATATAGATTTCCAGTTTTGCCAGCACCATTTGTTGAATAAGCTATCTTTTCTCCAGTGAATGTTTTTGGCACCTGTGTCTAGTATGAGATAAACATATTTATGTGTGTTTGTCTCTGTGTCCTCTCTTTTGTACCATTGGTCCACAAGTCTATTTTGGTATCAATACCATGCCATTTTTGTTACTATGGCTCTGTAATATAGTTTAAGGTCCAGAATTGTGATGCCTCCTGCCACTTTTCTTGATAAAGGATTGTTTTAGCTATTCTGGGTCTTTAATTTTTTCAAAATAAATTTTATGATTGCTTTTTCTAGTTCTATGAAGAATGTCATTGGGATTTTAATCAGAATTGCATTAAATCTGTGTAATGCTTTTGGTAGTATGGCCATTTTGACAATATTAATTCTGCCTATCCAGGAGCATAGAAGATCTTTCCATCTTCTGAGGTTTTCTTCAGTTTCTTTCTTTAGTGTTCTGTAGTTTTCACTGTAGAGGTCTTTCACCTCTTTTGTTAGATTGATTCCCAGGTATTTTTTTGAGGCTATTGTGAATGGGGTAGTTTCCCTAATTTCTATTTCAGTGGATTCATTGCTGATATATAGGAATGCATTTGATTTATGGGTGTTGATTTTATATCCTGTTACTTTGCAGAACTTATTTACTAGTTCTAGAAGTTTTCTGGTGGAATTTTTTGGATCTTCTAAATATAGAATCATGTCATCAGCAAATAGTGACAGTTTGAGTTCTTTACATATTTATATTTCTTCTAATTCCTTTGGCTAGAGTTTCAAGAATGATATTGAATAGAAGTGAAATATTCTATATTCATTTTCAAGAAAAGTGAAGCAGGAGGATCACAATACCAGACCTTAAATTTGTTACAGAGCTAAATTAATAAAAATAGCATAGTATTGGCACCAAAATAGACTTGTGAACTAGTGGTACAGACTAGAGGACAAGAGACATACCCACACAAATACAGTGGTGAAAGAGGACATTCTTGTCTTGTTTCAGTTTTTAGAGAGAATGCTTTCAATTTTTCTCTATTTAGAATGATGCTGGCCTTGAGTTTAGCATATATAGCTTTTACAATGTTGAGGTATGTTTGTACTATCCCTAGTTTTTCCAGTGTTTTGAACATGAAGGTGTGCTGTATTTTGTCAAGTGCTTCTGTATCTATTCAGATGTTCATATGATTCTTGTTTTTAAGTATTAATATGAATTATGTTTATTGATATCTATATGTTGAACCAACCCTGCATCCCTGGGATGCACCCTACTTGATGGGGGTGCACTATCTTTTTAATGTTTTTGTATGCAATTTGCCAGAATTTTATTGAGAAGTTTTGCATCTATGTTCATTAGGGATATTGGTCTGAAGTTTTCTTTCTTTGATGTGTCTTTGTCTGGTTTTGGTATCAAGGTGATATTAACCTCCTAGAATGAGTTTGGAAGGGTTCCCTCTTCTGTTTTGTGGAATACTTTCAGGAGTATTGGTATTAATTCTTCTTTGAATGTCTTGTAGAACTCAGCTGAGAATCCGTGTGGTCCTGGGCTTTTCTTGGTTGATAGGCTTTTGATGGCATTTTCTATTTCATTATTTGAAATTGATCTGTTTAAAACATGTATGATATCCTCATTTAGTTGGGTAGTTCATATGTCTCTAGAAATTTGTTGATTCTTCGATATTTTCTATTTGATTGGAGTATAAATTTTCAAAATAGTTTCTAATTATTTCTGTATTTCAGACATGTACATTGATATTTCCTTCTTCATCTTGTATTTTAGTAACTTGAGTTTTCTCTCTTTTTCTCTTTGTTAGCATGGCTAGGAGTTTATCTATTTTATTTATTTTTTCAAAGAACCAACTTTTTGTTTTGTCAATTTTTTCAGTTGTTATTTTTGTTTTGATTTCATTGATTTCAGCTCTGATTTTAATTATTTCCTATCTTCTCMCACTTTTCATTGTTTTTTATTTGTTTTAATTAGTTTTATATGACAATAGAATTCATTTATGTACTTTGATATATCACACTTATATGGGATATAATATTTAATTCTTCTGAGTATACATGTTGCTGAATCATATTGGTAATGTTAATTTGAGGGCTTTGAGATGTAGTGTAAGGTCATTTATTTGTTGACTTTTTATTCTTTTAATGAATGCTCTCAATGCAATAAACTTTCCGCTTAGTACTACCTTCATAGTATCCCAGAGATTTTGATATGTTATATCAGTGTATTCATTTACTTCTAAGATTTTTTTAATTTCATCCTTGATTTCTTCTATCCATTCACCATTCAATAGAACATTATTTAGTCTCTAATTGTTACAGTAGCTTCTATTTTTTAATTTTATCATTGATTTCTAATTTCATTCCATTGTGATCTGATAGAATGCAGGGTATTATCTCTGTTTTTTTTTTTTTTKTATTTACTAAGGGTTGCTTTAATAGCATAAGACATGGTCTATTTTTAGAGAAGGAGCCATGTGCTGCTGAGAAGAAAGTAGATTCACTTGTTGATGGTTGAAATATTCTATATATGTCTCTTAAGTCTAAATTATTGTTCGTATTATTTAGTTCTATAGTTTATTTGGTTTTTGTTTGGTAGATCTGTCTAGTAGTGAAAGAGGTATGTTAAAGTCATTCAGTATGATTTTGTTGTGGTCTATTTGACTCTTGAAATTGAGAAGGTTTTGTTTGATGTACATAGATGCTTCACTGCTTGAGGCTTAAATATTTATAATTGTTATGTCCTGCTGATATATACTTCCCTTAAGAAGTATGAAATGTCCTTGTTTATCTCTTCTTATTAACTTTGGTTTGAAGTCTACTTTATCTGAGATGAGAATGGAATCCCCTGCTTGTTTACACAATCCATATGAGTGATAAGTTTTTTCCTATCCTTTCACTTTCAGCCTGTGGATGTCTTTGCCCATGAGGTGAGTCTCTTGAAGACAGGATATTATTGTGTCTTGCTTTTTAATCCAATCTGCCAATCTCTATCTTTTGATTGATAGATTTAGGCCATTAACATTCAAGGTTATTATTGAGATATGACTTTTATTCCCTGTCATTTTGATTTTTTTCTGGTTTTTAATTTGACTTAGTTTCTCTCCTTTGGTTAAATATTCCTTAATGTCGATCCTCTCTTTGCTGGTTTTCACTTAATCCTCATGGAATATTTTGTTGAAAATATTCTGTAATGTAGGCTTTCTAGTTGTGAATTCTTTGAATTTTTGTTTATTATGGAAGGTTTTAATTTCATCTTTGAATCTGAAACTTAATTTTG